TTTTTTTTTTTTTTTTTTTTTTTTTTTTTTGCTTGTCATCGCTCTTTGATGTCACGTGTTTGCCCCACATCGAATGACAGCGGTCGTTTGTGAGGAAGAAATGAATTGTTGCTGAATAAAAGGGAACGCAGTAAAGATTAATCTAATTCGGAACACTATTAATGTGGTTACTTATATTCCAAGAGCCGAGCAAATCCAGAGGGTGGTTTGTTTGTTTTTTTTTGTTTTGTTTTGTTTTTTTAATCCCTGTTTGAATGTGTAATATGTTTGTGTGTAAACCTGTACGCATGCGAGATTTTGTGTGTGTGTGTGTGTGTGTGTGTGTGTGTGGGTCTGTGTTATGAAAAAGACTACTTTAAATCGATTTAAACACATAACACAGCAAACAACAAGAAAGCACTTGGAGAGAAATTCTAAATGCTCAGTGTGCACTTTGTATGACTCCTTATGCCTTTTTGTTTTTCTACCCTTTATGTCAAGTGCTACCTTCTCTCTATCCCTCTCTCTCGCCCTCTCTTTGTCTCTGTGAGTACTCTGAAGAGCTGCACAGTATTTTTGAGCAGGAGTGAGTTACTACAAAAAACTGTAGTGCCATTAGAAACTGTGAATTCTTTCTAAATAAAATGTTTTTGTTTCTGTTTGTCTTTCAGTTGGAGTTGTTTCATGTCAGATTTTAGCAAAATTGCTATTTCACTTCTGTTGTCCCTAGGCAGGAAACGTTTAATAAAGAAAAGTAGTGATAGCAGTATACATATTTGGGTATACACATACTTCATTCATAGAATCCCATCCTCAGCATCTCAAAAGTAATTAGAAAGTTGGCTTAAAAAGAAATTAATAGCCATGTGACACCTGTTGTTTTGTTCTTTTATGATGAAATGAGTATCAGGAGCGACCACATCAATGATCTGGTGCTTTCTTAAAAAGAATGAATACGCTGTCCAGCCTAGCAACACCAAGAAAAACCCTTCACAATATCTAACCAAATCAGTAACACCCTCAGAGAGAATGGCATATCCCCAAAATCTACAGTTAAAAGATGCTTTCATAAATGCAAATACAAAGGTTTTATAAAAAGGTGTAAACCACTGGTTACAGAGCAAAATGTGGCGAAGGTAAGGAACGCCACATGACACAAAGGATACTGCATTATCTGTCAAACATGGTGGGGGCAATGCTGTGTCATGGGTGTGTATAGCTGCCACAGTAAATGGATCATTAGTTTACTGATGTGACTGCTGACAAAAGTAGCACGGGGCTATACTCTCTCCTTACGTTCAGCAAAAAGATGCAAAACCAATCAGAAAGAGCTTTATAGTGCTAATGGATAATAACCCAATACAGTCTCAAGGCAAAGAAATGGCATAGTCCAAGTCAGTGAAGATCCATGAAGAAGTAAAAACTAAAGGTGGTTGTGGTAAAAGTCTAGCAGAGTATCTCAAGGGAAGGGTAACAGAATTCGGTCATATCAAAATGCTGTAGATATCATCAAATGTGGATATGCTGTATCCGAAAGGATTCTCAACCTCTGGAAGACAATGAATGTAAGTTTTAAAAGGAATCCGCATATTTAAAGCTGTTTGTTTCTTCAATGACTTTGAACCCTCCCCGGGCTTTTATGCCTACTCATTCCTATGAGTTTCTAGGGAATCACTATCCATCTTTATTATGTTGGGGGAAGAAATATATCAATAACATATAAAATATTACATGTGTAACAGCAGTATATGTTTAAATTTGATGAATTAGAAGTGTAATACAACTGAGCATTAAAGTGCGCATCTTATGCTCATCATTATTTATTTACTTATTTATCTTGCGGTGGGCATCACAATGATTTGCGGTCTAAAATGAACCATTTTTACCTCTTCTCACTGCAGGGACAGCTTCCCTTTAAGGCTGACTTGCTGCCGCTATTAAACAGAAGGTTTAAGGGTGGGTAGTTGGGGCTGTTGTGCTCATGATATCCTCTAATATGTCTCTGACATCATATAGATCCAAGAGAAAAATAAGAGCAATTAGAGAACTCTGAAGCCTGAACTTAAGGATAGCAACGTTTTTTGTTTTTGTTTTTAATAAGCGTCCAATATAAAAAAGCATAATAAACCCACTTTAAGGTGAATTTAAACCAGAAGGTGGCAGTAAAGCAACTTTAAACATATTAAACGACATCCAGCCACAGGGTGTCGCTGTGAGTCACACTGGCCTCTGTTCTCCTCCAGCGCGCGTTCTCTGTTTTCTCTCTGCTGTTTACGTTTATCGAGTAACATGGAGGACGAGGTCGATGTTGACATCGAAGGAGATGACTTTGATAACAATATTGGGTAATGACGCCTGTTTATTTGGATTAATTGATGGCTGTGCTGTTTGGTGGGCTTCTGTGCTGTGGTCTACGCGAGTTAGCGGTGACCCGGATGTTGGCGCAGGATAACAGCAGCTGGGATTAGCTCTGGAGGCGTCTGCTCTGCTGATCACAGCTTCTTTCCTCGCTGTTTTAGGGAGATGGACGGAGGAGGTTTGGTGCAGGAGCAGTTCATGCAGCCTACAGGGAAGAGCAGCGCCTGGATACTGGTATGACTTCGTCAAGCTCCGTTGTTTTTCTGGCTGTGGGTGCTCGTGTTGACTCTCCGTCTCTCCTTTGTACAGCCCTGGGAGCTGGACAGCTCCATCAGCCCGGAGAACAGAGAGGTGATAGAGAGGATGTTGCTAGAGGAACAGTATCCTTTTACTGACCTTAAACGCACTGCATAGTGATGCATTGAGGTTAACTACAGGAATCACAGGACGTAGCTGGGAAAGCTTCGGATTACCTAATAACTGCCCCATGCTGTGGCTAATGTAAACATACGGACAGATGACAAATTAAAAGAAAAAAATGTAACGCTTGACCTTACAGTAAATGGAATTATAGTGGGGGAATGTGTTATATTATTTTATGTTCACTTGTCCTGTTAGAGCAGGAGTAACCCAAAACATCTCAACATAGTTTCAACCAGTAGCTGAAGCTCCTTATATTGTGTTGATTACATAGTTTAAATACTAATTTTGTTGCTGGTTATGAAATCAGTTGTCCTCAACTATAATCGAAGATATTACCTGACAGGTAAGGAGATTCCCGACCACATTTGGCACAGTGATCCTCACAAAAAAAACAAAGTGAAAAAGTGAGTAATTTCTTCCATCAGCCTTGATGATGAGCGCAGTACACTGATTCCTCATTTCCTTGCTATTCATGAACTTGTCTGTGTGTGGACAGGTCTCCGACCAAGAACATAGCTTCGTCTGCTGGTTCATCCTCTCGATGGTCCCAACAGGAGAAAGAACTGTTTGAGGAAGGCCTGGTATGCTTACACTGCAAGTTAACTTTTGTGTCTGAAATGTAATTTCTGTTTGGGAAGGTCAGCTTTTAATGGATTTAATAATTGTTTTAAGTGAGTCAGATTGTGTGTATTGTCCAAGTTGCCGAGGTGTGTTGTTCTACAGGCTCGGTTTGGTCGAAGGTGGACTAAGATTGCTAAGCTCATGGAAAGCCGTACCGTTCTTCAGGTTAAGAGTTACGCCAGGCAGTATTTTAAACATAAGGTAAGACAGTCCACCTGGATTATACTAACAGCACAAGACAGGTTTCTGTTATGTAAGCTTAGTTGTAGTCATCTGCAGATATAAACCTGCAATTTAGTCAAGCTACATACGCTTTATGCAACCAGAAGGAGTCCTTAGCAATGGTATGTTGGAAAATAAAAATCAAGATTAAACAAACTTTTGTGTACACATTTTTCAGGCAAAATCAGATCCTGGTCCTGCGGCTCCCTCTGTAGCTCCCATAATACACCTACAACCTCCTCAGCCCACCTCCAGTCAAGTGTCTACTCTTGCCAACGCTGTCCGCATAGAGAAGCTTTCTGACGATGAGGATGAGGATGTAGACATCACTGACGACTTGAGTGATGACGAAGAAGGCAATAAACCACAGGCAGTCCTCAGCAGTGATTTCTGTGGGCCTGAGGAGAAAACAGATTCTGGGAGTCAAAGCTCCACAGAAGAACATGTAAGTCTGAGTGGGGTAGAGAGCATCCATGAGACGAAGGAGAAACCGAGCCACACCTCTCTTTCTCCGCAAAGTCTTCAACCCTCATCTTTCCCTGGTTGCTCAGAAGATCCTGGAGTAACAGAGCGAGATGAGGTCAACAAGACAGCATCGGTATTTCCACAAAGCTGTCAGACACCGCCTCACGCAGACTCAAAGCAGATGTTCTCAGCAGGCATTGCTCAACTGGAAGAAGCTTACAGTGATGGAATGGGTACTCCACACTTACTGTTCTTTGTGTATTTACCTCACTGTCATAGGAAAAATTAATGACACACATTATGATGTCCTAGATTCTTCAGACAAGATTGAGAAGAATCTAAATGATAGACCATACAATGACCAGGAGGAGGAGGAGAATGAAGATGATGAAGAGGAGGAGCTGAAGGCCCCCGAACAAGAAATAGAGATGGACACAGAGACCATCACCGAGGATGAGAAGCAGGCTATCCCAGAGTTCTTTGAGGGGCGACCATCAAAAACCCCTGAAAGATATCTGAAGATTAGAAACTATATCCTGGATCAATGGTAAACTAAGTTTACATGTTCGATAACTTTGTTTACACAACTTTGCACAGAAAGTGGTTATTACTGTTTTTGTCCACTAGGCTGAAGAGCAAGCCCAAGTACCTAAACAAGACATCGGTCCGCCCTGGTCTAAAGAACTGTGGAGATGTCAACTGCATTGGGAGAATACACACCTATCTGGAACTCATTGGAGCAATCAACTTCAACTGCGGTAAGTCTGTGTCTCTGAGTCTTCTGATTTATGAATTTTTATCTTCTTTTTGATGTTAAAGCTCTGACTTCCTTTTTGTAGAGCAAGCTGTGTACAATCGTCCAAAGGTGATGGACCGCTCCAAGCATAAGGAAGGCAAAGATGTACT